TTTTGCCCTCCAGGAACTGGTGTTCTCAGCATCTCCAGATGCCACTATCCGTATTTGGTCAGTCTCTGGCGCTTCCTGTGTGCAGGTTGTACGAGCCCATGAAAGTGCTGTCACAGGGCTTAGTCTCCATGCAACTGGCGATTATCTTCTGAGCTCTTCTGATGACCAGGTGAGAGTGAATCCAGAATATCTCTTCGCCTAGATTTTTTTTAAAAAAAATAAGAATTCAACATAACAATAATGAAAGTCACGATCTTCTGTCGCCAAATGCTTATACACAGTCTCAAACCTTTGCTTTTTACAGTATTGGGCTTTCTCTGACATCCAGACTGGCCGTGTTCTCACCAAGGTCACCGATGAAACCTCTGGCTGTGGTATGGATTTTGGACTTAGAATCTAAATTTAGCATTCTGTGAGAGCTGCTGGAGTGAGTGCAGTCTCAATGTGTTGGGCATCTGGGTAGGAATAACCTGGTTGGAGCTCCCTCACTTACGCGGTGATCCAATATTCTTTTCCTGCAGCTCTCACCTGTGCTCAGTTCCACCCTGACGGGCTTATTTTTGGGACAGGAACAATGGACTCCCAGATTAAGATCTGGGACCTAAAGGTAAGAATTGGCTTGTATTATGACAATGTTGGAAAGTTTTACTTTGCAGGACTGATTATTAAGGATTTGCTGACACTGACCATGCATATTCTAAAGCAGTGATGGCGAACCTTTTAGAGACCGAGTGCCCAAACTGCAACCCAAAACCCACTTATTTATTGTTGGGTGCCAGGTGGGCGTGGCCCATTGGGTGGGTGTGGCTGCGGTGGTAACGGTAGACTGGGTTGGACTAAAAAGTTCAATCAATCAATTCCAACTTTGCGAGATCTTTTTTTTTCCTGTGAGAAATTGAAATTGATTGAGTGACTGAACCTTTTTTTTTTTTTTTGCACATGGTGGCAGAGGCCTAAAGCAAAAAGGTTTTATAAAAGCCAGCTGAAGGCCTAGGACTGGGGCGATGGTGCGCATGCCCACAGAGAGGGCTCTGCGTGCCACCTGTAGCACCCGTGCCATAGGTTCGCTACCACGGTTCTAAAGTATTCTTATCCTTTAGGTGTTTTGACTGAGAAATGGAATATTTAATACATCAGTATGTTAATTAGAGCTAGATCATTACTGATTTATATAGCTGGTTAATACGTTTGTGAATAAATACAAATGGTTGGTATATATACCATTATTTAGAAAGTTCTTATGCTAATGTTAAAGAGCATGAAACTCTCCTTGGCTTCTTCTTTGTTGGGGGAAAAGATTAAGGAGGGCCATGTCAAATGTTCCTCCTCAAAAGATGTAGATATAGATGGGAAACATTTTGGATAACTCCTACCTTCATGAAGTATAATCATTCTTCTGAATCGAAAGATATTAGCAACAATTATGTTTATATTTATATTGGTTTTTTAAGGCAGCGTGTTTCAACTCATGATGCGTGTACCACTGGCGGTACTTCGGCATCTGGCAGGTGGTATGCGATCTAGACAAGTGTAGCTGGGGGGATGAACTGAAGCAGCGGCAGTGCTGATGAGTTGAATCAGCGCCAGCGCCACACAGACCTGGGGGAGAGTCAGCTGGAGCTGCAGTGTTTCCAGGGCTCTGCTGAGAGGCCAGGATCAGCGTGCATGGCTCCAGCTGATTGGCGCTTCTGGCAGCCTCTGTTATCACCGAGAGCAGCAGACAGGCCTTGGGATGAGAGAGTCAGCTGGAGCAAGTGGGGTGAGGCAGAGGCCCCAGGGTTGGCGCGCGTGGCTACATGCTGATCGGTGCTTCCAGCACACCCAGAAGAAAAAAGGAGGACGAAGGGGGAGAGAGGAGAGGATATAAAAGGAGGAGGTTTTGACAGGAGAGGGAGAGGGGGGAAAAGACAATGGGGAAAGAGAAGGAGACGGAAAAAGAGAGGGAGAAGAGGTTTTGTGAGACAAGGAGTGAGGAGAAAGAGAGAGAGAGAAGAGGCTGTGGAAAGAGAGCCCAGCAGACAGTGAGGAGAAAGAGAGAGGAGAGGATCAGAGGAAGAAGGGCCGATCAGCCAGGTGACCACTAAGGTCAGCATATTAATAAATATGGATAAATTTGTCATATATTCATCAGTGCAAAGGGAAAGTGATTCAGAAAGGAACTGCCACCGAAGAAATTAAAACTGGTACTTTTTTCCTTTTTTTTAAATGGTTTGTAACATTTTATTAGATTATAGAATAAAATACAAAAGCAAATAGTAGGACACAGTTGGGAGAAAAGAGGGAAAGAAAAGTAAGGGGGAGAAGGGAGAAAGAAAAGAAAAGGCTTTGACTTCCGACTTCCTCTGTTGCAGTAGAATGAAGCATTAAAATCGAACGTCAACTTTTTACTTTTCCATAATAGTATAAACTAGCCATTTGTATAAAAACAAATCCATTTAATCAGTTAAAACCCAGAATCCTTTTTTTTTAAATCATCAAGTTTTTTTACACCTTGCTAAGCACTGGTGGTACTCGAATACTGTCATGTCCTAAAAGTGGTACAATTTGTGAAAAGGTTGAAAAGCCCTGTTTTAAAATACCTAAATGGTTATGTAAAGTGTTCTGGGAAAACATTTTTTTGAGAGGTGACATATCTGTTTTTAAAGTAAAAATTTTTTTTAGTTATTATGATGTACTAAAGGCTGTTTTTTTTTTTCTTTCAGTTTTTTAATCTCTTGAAATCTGGTCTGTCTGAAATATCTGATCTAGATATTGCTGTTAATGTCACGTTGAGCTCAAAACATTATACAGGAGTATTATTGAAAGGACAATGATCTCAAAGGCAGGGGAGAGACATGAGTTGTATTTCCTTGGAGGGTACATCATCACTCTAATAGCACTCATTACTTGCCTTCCTCAGGAGCGGACTAATGTCGCAAACTTCCCTGGACACTCTGGTCCCATTACTAGCATCGCCTTCTCCGAGAACGGCTACTACTTGGCCACTGCTGCTGATGACTCCTCAGTCAAACTCTGGGATCTCCGCAAGCTGAAGAATTTCAAGACGCTGCAGCTGGATAATAACTTTGAGGTTTGTCTAGTTGCATTTTTTTTGACAGTTGTACGTTTTTGAGCCCTCCGTATTTTAATATAGCCACTGAAATCTGATAGATTTCATGTAGCTGCTTTTAAAGCTTTGGAATCTGTATGAGAGCTTGGTTTCCTTTGAATTGTGTGCACCCTCACACTGCAGACTCTAAGGAGCTTACATTATAGTACAATACAAAATAATCCAAACCATAATAAATAGTCAGTAGTTCCCAAATAATTACTGGCTAGGTTTAGTTGTGACATAGACTAACATGTATTCCAGGAAGACTGCAGAAGAGCAGTATTTCCTGAACATTAATAGGGAAGGCACCATTTCTGACATTGGGAGGCAAACTATTTCAGAATGTAAGATTCATAGCAGAAATGGTTATTTCAAGGATCCCATTTCCCTTAAAGTGGGGATTTACAGCATGTTCTCCCTACTTGTTTGTATTGGCTGGGTAGATTTAAAGTAGATGCTTTCAGAGATGTCCTAGAGCATGTGAACATACAATGCTTTGCTTCTAGAAACCTATTTTCTGTGCTTTTCCTCTATAGGTGAAGTCTCTCATCTTTGATCAGAGTGGTACCTATCTGGCCCTGGGTGGTACTGATGTCCAAGTGTTCATCTGTAAGCAATGGACAGAAGTTCTTCATTTCACAGGTATGAGATTGTTGGCTTTTGTATGACTCTCCAGAGATACTATACAATACTGTCTTTTGTACTGGTGGTTAGCATCAGCACTTCAGTTATTTCTGCTCCCTTCTGTTTCTTTGAAGTGGTAATCATAGAGTGAAAAATATCTCGTCTGACTGTCCTGTCTTTTTTCTACAGAGCATAGTGGGCTGACAACAGGAGTAGCCTTCGGACACCATGCTAAGTTCCTCGCGTCCACAGGCATGGACAGAAGCCTGAAATTCTACAGCCTGTAGCTTCTGTTTCTAGGATGCAAAGCATCTGGATCCTATTCTTTGCTGTAATGAAAAACTATGGGATAAGCATGGGGTTTTGGACTGATGGAACATCATGTACATTATAGCTGCTGATGTCAGTTTTCTGTAGCATGGAAAATTGCCCACAGTTTTAAATATATTTGTTTTCCTCTGTGTTCGTTTTTCATGTAGATCTGTAACAATAACAATACTTAGTCAAAACCCATGCACTGCTGACTCTCTAGTAGGGATAGTGGCAGAGATGAGGATGGAGAAAGGGTTGGGGAGACGTGCAGTTTTTTGTATGCTGCTCTCTAGTTTCATTAAAAAACAATATTCAACTGTAACAATGTGCTTTTGGGTGGTATCTTACATTTCAAACATTTGTATATTGAACTACATTTTGCCAACACACACAAATGTTTATACATAACAGCTTTTGAATTTCTCACAGCATGAGAAGGTATCACAGTTCAGCAATTTTGATGATGAATTCCTTAAAGATAGTATTCAATTTATAGGCACATTCTGAAGGCAGTAGATTCTCGTAACCATTCATTAAAATGGAATGTTTGAAATACAGCCTCAAATAGGGAGCATACATACTACTTTGAGATATGAAATCTGGTACTTGTTTTATTACAATAGACAATAGTATGCTATGTGGACCAGGACCTGATTTGCATAAAGCGCCTTTCTGTATCTAGATATCAGTGTGGTTTTGAGCAGTTCTTTTCTCTGGGCCTCTTATTTCCAAATACCTTCATTTCCGTTTCATTTCATTGTTTCCTAAATATATAAACGTGTACATTTTATTCTATATAAACATTGTTTTAAGCATCACTTGGTTATACTGGGATAAAACAGACCACAAAGTTTATCATTTTAGGTGAATTCATCTGGCCTGGTTAGTTGATGGATCATTGTGTTAGAAGCTTGAAATTACTGAACAAATTGTTTAAATCACCAATTTGAATCTCTGATAGAATTAATTCGGTGGAAAAATAGAATGAACCAACAAATGAGCAATGCTGAAAAGTTTGCCATAAATCTGGATGATAGCACAAATAGTGCACATTTTGTAAGACTGATTTGTTGCTTCTTGACTATCAATCTTCATTGATAAATGCTACTGGACATTGACAAGGAACAGAGGGCCAATCTTAACAGCTCTTCAAAATGTGGTTTTTGTTTTAAACTAGAAAAAAAAGCTATCTATAGCTTTTGTCAATAGGAAAAAAAAAGATAAAAATTGCCCTGTCCATTTTGGCAACATCTTGTACATCAGAAAGTTCATTTGCATGCCTCTATAGCAGGGGTAGTCAACCTTGGCTCTTTTATGACTCGTGGACTTCAACTCCCAGAATTTCTCAGCCAGCTGGGAATTGAAGTCCACGAGTCATAAAAGAGCCAAGGTTGACTACCCCTGCGTCTATAGAATAAAACCCTCTTTATAGTCAAGCATGGAGTAAGCGAGATTCATTCGTGGGCCTCTTCTGCATAGACATGAATCCTAAATCAGTCTCAAAAAGAGTGCTTTCATAACCAATATGTTCATCCCATTCAACAAGCATTTTGGTGTGCATGGGACATCCTAGGTTCATTCAGGTGTTGTGTCCTCCACTTTGCTGTACAGCATTAAAATAATAAAATTCCATTTCTATTTTGTATTTTTACCATCAGGTTTTTGTTTTTTGACTGCAGCCAGCCCACCTACATACCTACCATTGGAAATTGAGAAAATTATGCCCCTCGAACAGGTCAAACAATTAGCCCTGCAATACATAATCTTTGGAGTGGAATTGTGAATATACCAAGTGTGAAACTGACATCCAAGTTTAGTATAACTATGTTATTAAGTACTAGCTGTCCCCGGCCATGCGTTGCTGTGGCTCACTCTGGTAAAAGCATGTGTTGCTTTTACGTCCAACAGATGGCGCTGTTTTTCAAAAAAGCATGTTTTTACCTGTCACAGGTGTGACATCTATATAATATAGGTATATAAAAACGCGCGTATTCAAATGCAACGTGTCAAAATTTCAAAGCAATCGGTGAAGAACTTTCGGAGATTTAAGATTTTGAACAAACGAACATTTACATTTTTATTTATATATATAGATTGTTTATTGTTAATATATACTACTGATATACACTTTTAACTCATTCAGCACAAGAGATCTTATCTTAGGCCATGATGGATTTCTTCTTATAGTCTTACTTTGCATAATAGCAGGATCGGTCCTGAAAGAAAGGACTTTTCATACAGAAATAATATGTTCAGCTTATGAAAACACAATTTGAGAGGGGTAGACAAAAGGAGTAAATAGACATTTACCTACACCTTGCCATTAGGCAGAATAATAGAATTACAGAGTTGGAAGGGACCTTGGAGGTCTTCTAGTCCAACCCCTTGCTCAGGCAGGAAACCCTATACAATTTCAGACAAATGGCTGTCCAGTCTCTTCTTAAAAACTTCCAGTGTTGGAGCATTCACCGCTTCTGGAGGCAGAGGTTGTTCCACTGGTTAATTGTTCTAGCTGCCAGGAAATTTCTTAGTTCTGAGGCAACAGATCTTGCTGAGAAAACAGCTGATAGGACTTGCTGTGCTACCTAGCAAAACTTTAGAAAAAACTTTAGAAAACGCACATTTTCACAATGATCATATTGTCCAAGGGGCACAGGAAACAAGGAACAACAATGTGTATGTGTACAACATCTATGAGATCTGCTTCATGGCTATCTACGTAATTTTTCTTTATTTCATTTTTTTACAGTACAGTAAACCAAACTCAAGTTAGTTATTCCCAAAAGCAAGCAGCATTCTGGAGATCTATATGCAAGATAGGCAAACTGCTGAGCAATTTTGCTCTTCAGGAAGATACTAAGAATAGCTGAGGGATCATGCTGAAAGTGCAAGATTCAGACTGAAAAAGACCAAAGTTCTAGATCCTTCCAACCGTTAACTGTCTGTCATAGTGTTTCTTTTCTTTTTCCCTGTTAGAAAGGCAGAGACCTGAAATCTGTTCAGTTTTTACATACGTTTGATACCTTGGGCAATTAAAATGAAACTGACCACAAAAGCAACTGATATTGTGGCTTTGTGATCTGCAAATATTTCCCCTCCCTTCTGCCTTTTAGACAACCAGTTTCACTCAGACCAGGAGCATAAATATGGACTTTGCTTAAATGGGTATCTACAGAGTGTGGCCAGAAAATTCAAGGTGGCAGTGACAACAGGGCGATTGAAGTTCCACCCGTTTTTGTGTGTTTTTTCATTGGGAGACGTCCACAGTGCAACATAAGAGAAGCAGCTATCTAAATGTTTTAAATAATTGTGTGACATCATCATCATCTTGATATACAGGATCACAGCCTGTTTGGCAATTAATGCACTTATTAATTGCCAGTGTGCGCGGGAGGAGGTTAAATTATGAATTTTTAAATTGTGGATTTTAAGTGCTGTATGTTGCCCAGAGTCACTGTGAGACAGGTAGCTATATAAATTTGTTTAATGAATAAATAAATAAATATACTTTGCCTGTGGGAGAGTGGGGCCAAAATAAAACCGTTTGCTCTCAGCTGAACAGAAAGAAACACGGGCCAGAAGAAAAGCAGCCCCACCAATTTGTGGTGGTGAACAGTGAAGCCTGCCCACCTCCTGACATTTGCTAAGGTAGCAGAGACAGTTGTTCTGCCAGCATTGCACTGCCAGAAAAACTAGCTCCTTCATGAGGCCAGGCGAGGCCCCCACCTCAAGAAGCCCCCTCACAACCAGGCAGGGCTGAGATGGGGAGGGGGATTGTCAACCTCAGAAATCTCTCTTGGTTGACTGGCTGCTCCATCAGGGGAAGCTAACCCAGGGAGGGGCAAGCTCTCATTTGAGGGAAAGAGTGAAGTTTCATTAAATCCTGGGGTTACTGTTACTGCTTTAGCAGAGGGATTAAAATGCTGCCTTGGTTCACCGAAACAGCCTCCGGCCTGTCTGAGCCATGAAGCCTTTTCCAGGGCAACCATTCCAGTAAATCCTGCCAAACACTTTCGTGCTGAGGCAGGGAGCCTTGACTTCTCCCTTCAGGGAGGTAGACAAGCTGGGTTGGGGTTTTTTTCCTCCCTTTTCCTAACTTTGGTTAGGGTGGGTGTCTTTAAAGCAAACCCAGATTTCAGCAACTAGGCAACAATTCAGTGAGCTCATCCTTCCCATTAAAATAGGAGATTAGGCAAAGAAAGGAATTTGGATTTGACCTTGGTCATATTCAAAAGATTGTGGAGGGGACGATGTAGTCTTAATTTTGTTAGATTTTTTTTTCCCCATTACAATTCCCCCCCTTTCACTGCTTGTTCGGCACAAAGCCAGCTGTGTGTATATCTCTTTCTCATCAACTTGAACCCTAATGAAATCCTAGTTTTATTCTTGCAGGTAGGGTATCCACACAAATTCATTCTCTAGGTCAGGGGTGTCAAACTCAATTTCATTGAGGGCCGCATCAGCATTGTGGTTGCCCTTGGGGGGGCGGGGGTGTGTGGCCAGGGTGGGTGCAGCCTACTGGGTGGACGTGGATGGAGTGGGTGTGGCCTACTGGGTGGGCATGGCCAGCTCTACATCATTCACGTCAAGGGTGCCTGTGGGGGCCTGGGCAGGAGTGGGACAGATCTGGCAGAAGGGGGTGGAACCGGGGCGAGTGCCAAGGCATGGTCCACTGGAGGAGCCTCACTGTTCCTCTCAGGCCATGCAGTGGGGGGGCTTATGGAGCTAAGACTGAATGCGTTTCAGCATAGATGGCCACCACAAAATTGTACATTGGCTCCCGGCGGGCCTGGGCCAGGGCCAAGGCAGAGGGGGCCGTTCCCTCACTGTTTCCAGGATGGCTTCAAGGGCCACATGAAACCACTTTGTGGGCCGCATCCGGCCCCCGCGCCTTGTGTTCGACATGTCTGGGCTAGATGGACCGTTTTTAGAGAGTACGGATTTTTACTGAGAATATAGTTTCCTGGTGGAAGCTTGATTCTTTTGGCATTAAAGCCCTCAGATGCACTATGTGTCTGGTGAGATTCATTAGTCTGGCTGGGTAGGAGGTAATATTTTCAACTGCTTCCTAAAATACTGATTTTGGTCTGAAACTGTAACTGAAATTTGCACTCTTTTGGAGTCTCTACTTTCTTGGTGCAGGTAACTGGAGAGTTTTATCTGTTTCACAGAAAGTGTTTTAAGCAATTCTGCCTTGTTTTGGGTACAGTATATTTTAAGGCATTTAAGGGTTAAAAGAAAGCTAATAAATAAATTGGTGAGACATTTCACTAACACGTCTTTTGTCATTGTTTATCTTATGACATGAAACGACAAGGACAAAGAAAGATTTTAACGAACAAGGTTAGATAATTTAAGGTGAGGTTGAAAATATAGTGGGACTCTTAATCAAGCTCAGTTTACCCCGCCTAGGTCGAGGAATAAAAGGTTTTAGAAGAGACCATCTTCTTCTTTAAGGTGCTGTTTGCTTCAGAGAAGAGTGTGGAAAGCAGTTCCGAGTTCTGCTCAAAGTTTATTTTTATTATTTTTTCCTTAGCCGTCAGCTGGCAGAGCAAGCCTTTATTCTGGAAAAGTTTGGAACTGAAAGGTATTGTATTTGTTGTGGGTTGGAGAGAAAGAATTGCACTGTGCCTCTCCATTCCGGTTGAGAGAAAAGAAAGTGGCTGTGTGAAGCTGGTTCTGTAATCAGGCAAGTCCAGAGGCTCACTTTGAGGAGGAGCAGCTGGAAGGTGAGGGGAGGGCACGCAAAATCCTGACAAGCTTTGCCTTGTCCTCCCCTCTTCTGCTCCACGGGAGGGAGTTAGCTTAAAGGAAAGTTTGTTTAGCTGTCTTGATGCATTCATAGTGAACTGCAAAATCATCAAGTTTGGAATTGCCTGTGGAAAGAGGATCTCACTCACAAGCTGCTTATTGTTCCTTTTCCTGCCTGCTGGTTTTAACAACATTTTAATAATCTTGCAAACTGATCTGCGGCATAAACCAGTTGATGCCAATAATTTCAAAGTAGGAAATTGTAGATGTGCGTTCACAAAAGATATCCACAGTTGGTTAAATGAGATGCATTTCAATTGATGTCACCCCCTCCCCAAAACGTAGGAGCATTTATGAAATCCTCCAATTGGTTCTAGTGTTGGGTTCTCGGATTAAGAAGTGTCTGAACAAGTTAATGAAACAGGCACCTCTGAAATACTTCAGCATTGCAACATAGGACTGGCAGAGCAGTGTAGATGACACCTTGACCACAGATTGAGGACCAGTATGGTTTGAGAGGGGAGAGATAAGGAGACTGAACAAGTCTGAAATTTATATGATTAGGAGCCTGATTTTCCCCAGGTACTCTCAAGAACTGGCAGCTATGGTCCACCTCAGTGTCACTCCTGAAGTCTCCCTTGCTGACTCGCCAGTGAAGATTTATGCCTCTGGCCTGGCCCCCGCCCAGCTTGTGACCTTACACGCANCCTTCTATGTTCAGATTAGCCTCTTTAATTCTACTGTGATTGTGCCCTTGCCCACGGATGAACCACTGGCTACTTGCACTGTGGAACGATGGTACACAGCCCCCGGAGTGGAACGCATCCCAATTAAGTCTGGCCGGGTCCGGGGAGCCCTCTTCTTGCCTCCAGGTAAGGAAACTGAATTCTGTTTTCTTTTCCACTTTCTTTATTGCCTCAACCTCTTGCTTGCAATGGATGGTGCCTCCAAATGTATTTAGGGTGCTAGTGCCTAGACTTCCTAGCCAGCATGGAAGCACTGTTGATTTGTGCTTTGATGAGCACAAATGAGCAATACCATAATTTGTTAGCCCTTTGAGATCAGCCAGACCAGGAAACCATTTTCACATGTTTGTCTGGATCTATATTTTATTGATAAATGCCATATCTTCCCAAATTTCTTGTTTCCTGGTACCCCTAGCAGTTCCCACACTGATTTCTAATATTAAAATTCCTGAAGTATCCATCTGCTATTGCTAGATTGAAAGATCTGATCTCCTTCTCCACATCTGCGTCTCTGCTTTGGACAGAGATTGGCTGTTCTGTGTACAGTAGTGGCCAAAATTGTGGAAACCTTTTGGGAAAAGTCTATTTTTGAGGTTTGATGGCTAATAACACCACTTTTTTTTAGTAGTACCATAAAATTATATATCAATGGAAAGATAATTTAATCAAGAATGTAATGCAACAAAGTTTGTTCAATTATCTGTACTGTATTCTATGAAACGTTATAGTCAAATAACCAGAAAAAGGAAGCACAACTTGCTTAGGTTGATATCAGGTAGCTTTCCTTCATCTGACTGTAGCCAATGAGCATGAGTGTTTAGAGAGCCAATCAGGTGTCATCTTGTTTTGGCAATGAGCCAATCAGATTACAGTAGGATTCAGTTATTGATGTCATGTATTGAAGCTGAGAGGAGCACATTTGTCAGTGTGTTATGTGATCGCTATCAAGTTGGCTGGTTTTTTTCTGTTCTTTCATTTAGTGAGCTTGTAAAACGTAATAAAATTAAAGTAATGGTGCAAAGAATTGGCTGGTTGCCCAGAAAGCGATGTAAAATAGTATTGTTAAGTGAACAAGGCTACAGTTATAAAGAAATTAGAAGAAAAATGGTGGAAACTTAACCAAAGGTGGCATTTCTACTGTACACTTTTCCCAAAAGGTTTCCACAATTTTGGCCACTACTGTATATGAGCACAAACTGTTTTCTTTTATCCAAGTTGGATCATAGTACTGATAAAAGAGACCATGTGCCCATGCACAATTCTTAGTAAAGATTTGAACGCTTTTTGAAAAAGGGGCATATAAAAAGTAGAAAGGCATGTCATGTCACAAGGAAGGGAACAAATGGGTCACCCAGATTTGCACAGATGTTGTTGGGAAAGCTAAAGCTGAGAATCAGCTGAAGTTAGGGAAAGATGCTAAGAACAAGAAAAGGCTACTTGTCATCATTATGTCCAAAGAAAAAACAATAATTTGTAAATGAGCTATGAGAATTAGACTTCTCATTCTTTGGCCCAGTCTTTCCTGAGAAGCAGATAAGCAGATAAGGACAGAAACATAGTCAGGGAACACTTATTGACTTTAAAGGAATCTTTAAACCAAATCTTTTGGTCTAGATGATTCCTAGAGCACTGAAAGAACTTGCTGATGATCTGGTCAAATCATTATCTTTGGAATATCTTAGGGAATGTGAAATAGCAAATGACAAGAAATACTTGAAGCTTACTTATTTGCAGTAGTACTAATTCACAGTATTCGTGGACTGCCCCAGTTATGAGAGTCTGTTACTACTCACCACTATAAGTTAGCATGAATCAGACTAATCTTTACTTTCTATTAACTTCTTTCATAGATTATGGAAATGCTATAGATACAACACTATATAATCAAGATTTCATCAATGCATTTGACAAAGTATCTATGACAGCAGGTTGGATGATTGTGGTTGAATGACATGTCAGTTAGGACAGGGGTCTCCAACCCCCGGTCTGTGGACCAGTACCGGGCCACATCATGCCAGCAACCAGTCTGCACAAACAAGCAAAGCCCCATCTGTGGGATGCAGGCAGCACACAAAACCACGCACCCTCCGGTCTGTGGAAAAACCTCTCTCCACGGAACTGGTCCCTGGTGCCCAAAAGGTTGGGGACCTCTGAGTTAGGATATATAGTGATCCGAAAATCATATTCAGATGCTCATTTAATCATGATTCTTTGTGAAACTAAAGTGAGATACTGAATTCAGTGCTGCAAACTTCAGCCTGGGTCTGACACAATGCAATATTTTTTATTAATGTCTTTGATGATGGGGTAGAGGGAATGCTCTTCAGATCTGCAGATGACCCAAAAATAGCTGAAATAGCTGATGCCCTAGATTAGATACAGATAAAATTGAACATGGATGTAGTAGCTTAGAGAAATGGAACAAAATGACAGAAAGAAACTTAACTGAGACAACGAAAAGTCCTTCATGCATCTCACAAATAAGATGTGAGATGCATAGCTTGCTAACAGTACCTATGAAAAAGATTTTGCAAGAGTAGCTGAGTGAAAATTAAATTTGGCTCAGCAGTATGACATCGCTACAAAAAAAAAAAAAGCAAATGCAGTTCTAGACATCATTAAAAGCATTGTTCCCAAATCAGAGAAAGTAATGTATTTGACAAAAGGGATATTACTCTTTGTTTTTTATTTCTTCACTTATCCTTGTTTTTTCTCCCTCTCCGCCTCACCAGGCCCTGGGCCATTTCCAGGACTGATTGACCTATTTGGTGGAGCTGGAGGACTAATCGAATTTCGAGCTGGCTTATTGGCTAGCAAAGGCTTTGCAGTTCTGGCTTTGGCTTTCTTTGCATATGATGATTTACCACAGACTCTGGAAGTAGTAGATCTGGAGTATTTTGAGGAAGCATGCAGATTGCTCTTGAAAAATCCTAAGGTGTGCATGAGATTATATCTTTTCTTAAACTTCTTGTTGACACTCAGGAAGATCCTAGAGTTTATTCTCTATTTGTTATGCAGAATACTTCATACAAACTAGCATGCTATGCACCTGTCAGATATACAAGCTAAAGGGATTTTGGGCCTGACAAAGCACAGCATAGATCAGTAGCATCGTTCCTGAGGGCAGAAGGATGAGAGCAGTGCTGCATTGCCACCTTTTGTATGTGCATTGTGATACATTGCTGACCCCTCAATGCTGCAATGCTCTTTTGTCATTTTGTGGACACACCCATTATATCCACCCTCTCAGTTTTCATTAAAGCATACAATTTTTTTTCTTAGGCTTCCTTATGTGTAGCTGAAAAACATGCAAAAATATGCAATTAAGAGTCATGCTTAAAAGTGCACTGCTTTAATGAGATGATTCATAAAAGCAGCAACATTTTTTTCAGACTTCCTTCCTTCTGTCTGTCACATTTCATGTCTTGTATTGGCTGGCTGGCAGAAAGAGAAGGTGACCAAGTTCATTTTTGAATGTGTAGATCTGCAATAATATAGCATGTGCATTAGTATGTCATTTTTTATAACTTTGATATCACCCCTCATTGTTTTAAGGAAGAAAGTGATTTAAACTTTTGTATGTCTCTCTGTGTTTGCTACTCCAGGTAAGAGGTCCAGGACTTGGAATTATTGGTTTATCCAAAGGAGCAGAAATTGCATTGGCCATGAGTACCTTCTTAAAGGAAGTAGTGGCTTCAGTGTGCATCAATGGTCCAACAATAATGATTACACCACTTCACTTTCATGATGTCAGTATCCCTGGAGCTTCCTATGCAAGTGAGAAGTTTCTCATTAATGAAATGGGATTGGCATCCCTTTTCGATTGTGTGGGACATCTTCTGGATGAAAAATATGAAGTGTCTACCATTCCTGTGGAGAAGGCCCAAGGGCACGTCCTCTTTGTGGTGGGGGAAGCTGACCAAAGCTTCAATAGCAGGGCGTTTGCTGAAGCAGCCCTGGCTCGAGCAAAGAAACATGGGAAAAATCATTGTAGCCTGTTGTTTTATCCAGGGGCTGGACATCTGATAGAACCCCCTGGATCTCCAGTTTGCTTTGCCTACCCACTTCGGTTTTCTCCCTTGCCGATCCAATGGGGAGGGGAAGTGAAGCCTCATGCTAAAGCCCAGGAACACTCCTGGAATGAGATCCTGAATTTTTTTAAGTTTCATCTTGGGCCACTTCAGAAGAGCAGCTTATGATAAAAGAAAGGCCAGGTTGTTTAGCTTCCTTTAGAATTATGGAGTTGGATGGAGCCATTGAACTCCAATCTTCTACCCTGCGCAGAGGTTAAAGTTAAAACAACTCCTTTAGATGAAGGGGAGCCCTCTAGCTCTTCGACTGATTAGATCCATTGTTGAACTGCTGCTTGGTGTTAGTAAATTTTTCAGAACATTCAGAGTCTGCCTCACTGTTTAGATGTCCCACCGGCTGAGAAGAAAACAGATGTTAGCATTCTCTGTGGGTTTCTTAATGAATGCTACCATATTCTTCCTTCCATTCTTTGTTTTTCATAAAGCTACACACATCAAGATTCTTCATTCTGCCTTCAGAGAACTTACTTGCCATTCTCTGAAACTACAACAGTGTCTGTGAATTCTTAAAGGATGGAACATCTCTTCTTGAGATTTGGAATTTATATTTCTTCTGGTGCAAAGGAAATTACATTTGCCCTTTTTTATATAATCACAGTGCTATGTCATAGTTTTCAATCAACAACTATTCTAAGCTGTTTTTTGTTTGTTTTTTGAGATACTAGTGTCAAATCAAATATCTTCGATCCCACAAGTATGCATCTGAATTCTGCTTTCTAAATGCTTCATTTCACCTTCGGTTCTCTTAATTATTTTTTTTACCACCAGTTTATTTACCTATCTAGATAATTCAGAATTTTATTTCTATTCAGCTCTCAACCAGTTTTATGTCATCTGAAAATTTGGCAGTAATCATAACCACAAAAAAGACCATTCACAGGGTTTACTGATCCATAGTTTGTTTGATCCATAGTTTGTTGGATAAGCCATTGCTGCCTGATTAACATAAAATACCAATCACTCATAGAATGCAAAACGTCACGCTTTTTTGGTGCACAAACCATCATACAGCATAATGTGATTTGCTTGGATTTGCCTTAATGTGATGTGGGAACTCATTGTCAGCCCCAAGGAACCAAGAATGACACAAGGAGCTACTTCAGAGTATTTAGAGTGTTCCACTATCCGGTCAGAACCAGTGGTGGGATTCAGCCAGTTCGCACCACTTCGGCAGAACCGGTAGCTAACTTTTGTTGCCCAGGCCCAGAATGGACTTCTGGAAGTGGCATCCGCACAGAGAACCGGTTGTTCACATATTTTAATCCCATCACTGGTCAGAACCCATCCTTCCATCCCATCTCACCCCCACCCTCCTGCCATCACAACTGATGACATTTCTTGGATGAGAAACAAAACGTTTTGTTCCTTCTTCCTCAAGGAAAAAACAGTCCGGTTGCTTTTTGAAAAAGCACCTTTGAGACAACTATGACCTGGATGACTGAGAATCTGTATAGGAATTGAACTATTTCAGAGTGCTTTCTTTACTATTGTTCACTGTTGTTTCTGTCAATAGACAGACATCTTTCCAGACTAAAGCACTTCTCTGTGTGACTATGAGATTTATCCTGTGAACTGCTAGGGAGAGTCTGCCGTTGCCCTTTTCCTGCATACTAAAGATTCAAACATGTTGTCTCTTTGCTCTCTCCTGCGATTCTGGACTACATCCTATCACCCTCAGGCTAGATGAGAATATCCTTATGACATTTCGTGGATTCTGTAAAGTACATATCAGAAATGTAACTTTGTAGTAAAGGGCACGTTTCTATTTGTCTTGTGCTTCCATAAGATTGATTGGTATTTCAATCGACTATAAAGTGCTCAACTATAAAATGAAGTCAGTAATGTTTTTTTTTCCTATTCCTATCTCAAAGAAATCTTCAACTATCGCTAGGCTAGCCCACTTACTATATAAATAACAAAAAAGGCTTCTCAACCAAAACCAAAGTTAACTGTTCATATCTTATATTAAATTATGAGAGTTTATTTCGTTGCGTGGATCAGTTCCCATCTTAGCAGCACCTAATTGTCCTTGGAATCCAAACATAATTGGACCTGATTATTACCCAGATAGAAATCTCTAAGGAAAAGTTTTGGAAACAGGGCATACCTCATTTTGAGGCAAACAGACACCAAATACAAAAATATCAATCATACTGAGTGTCAAAAAAATAAACTGACCATTGTCACACAAATGTGGAGTGCAATGGATGACTTCTGGAAATAAGCCTATGTGTTCAAGTCTTCTCTTTCTCCCAGACTTGCATATATACAAAAACAGGTGTCAAGAAAACCTGGGGTTATCAATGAAATGTGGTTGGTCAGTTGCTGTAAGTTATTCTGAAGGATCTGATTTACAACTGGAGGTATCTAGTGATCCATCTAGATGAGAGCACCTTGGCTGATCTCAAAACAAGCTAAGCAGGATAAGTTGTGCTTAGACCTTAGATAGGAGGCAATCAGGAAAATTGAGGGCAATGCAGGTAGTCCTCAACCTAGGATTGTTTTGAGCCCAATTTATGGTCATACGTTGTACCAGTCGTTAAGCAGGTCATCACATGACCAACTTGATTTTATAATCTTTTTTTGAAGTGGTTGTTAAGTGAACCCATTGGAAGTAAATCCCAGTTTCCTGCAAAAAATGTCATAAATTGTACTCACGTGACCACTGGATGCTGCAAACAGCCATAAAAACAGGCCACAAATACAGGCCAGTTGTGAATGGGGGACAGCCATTGGAACTTAAAATCCAGGTCATAAGTACCTATTTTTAGGTCTGTCGTAACTTTGAATGGTCAGTAAGCACTACCTGTAGGGTTCCCTGTAGGCTAAACAAAACTTTAAAAAACACCAGAGAATACAGCAATGGTGAATGCTTCTATTATTATTGCCAAGAAAATTAATGAAATGTCCTTTATGTCATTAGCAGTCAAGATCAACTCAAAGGAGTCTTTATTTTTTTATAGGTCAAATGTTTTTATTTTGTTTTCTACCCTTTGATCCTTTTGCACAATGAACTTTAGAATATCAAGATAAGGCAGTCAGTTCTGAAAACACGATTATAAGTATCATGATTAGGAAAAAAGAAAGGGACAAGAGTGGAAGATGAATAGGGATATTTGGATAGATGTCTTTAGAAAAAAAATAATTGTAGAATTAAGATAATAACTATAGTTGTTTTAAGGAGCCACAGCATTATTATCTTAATTCTATAATTTATTTAGGTGCCCAGAAAGACAAATTACAGATAGCTGTGAGGATGAAAAGCCTAAACATAAAAGTTGGTGAAGGTATTATTTCAGTTATCTGAAAATTCATCCTATTATAAGTTTGTCAAAGAGATAATGTGCACGTCAGAAGCTTCAGTTCTTGCCTTAGAGTGCAAAAAAAAAAAAAAAACCCTCTGTGAAGCAGTGAGGGTCAGCTCTATCACTCCCCCGGTGTCCCACAAAACTAAGTCAGTGGCTGCTTGACTCTGCTCATTAATAGCCTAGGGAAGTATAGTCTTAATAATGGAAAACATAATACAGTTTAGCTGTTACTGGCTTGCTAGAGCAGCACCTTTTTTTCACCAGTTGGCAGCAGTGAGAATCAGAAGAGAGAAGCAACTTTGTTTGGGTGGGTGAGAAAGATCTGATTTAGCCCACTGCTAGTGAGCGAAGCGGAGTCAAGTATCCTGGTTAAAGGCAGATTGGGAACTTCAGGGAGCTCTTGCTGAGTGCACTTCAAGACTGGACAGTGCTATGGACAATGCCAGAGACACCACAGGGCTAAACTGACCAGATTCGGACTGAGAGAAGTATCCCCATCTGATTGTAAACTCTTGAATATTCATTGATAATTGCCCAATCATATTAAGCAGGAAACACTAAAAGGGATTAAGACCACAAGTAAGATACCGTTAACTTCACAAGAGGTCTCAGGTAGTCTCATTTATGACTACACAAGACAGGAGGATTTTGGTGGCAGGAAAGACATCATATTAAGTGCCAAATTTTAAAACCAAACGCTGGGCAAGTTTATACTTTGCCCAGGAGAATTGCATCACGTCCTTTGACAAATTCGTTCTCAGTATTTAGGCTTTTGTGATAAATGTTTGGATCGGGATTAAGTATTTCCATTTCCATTATGTTTGCATGACCACTTCTCAAGCTTCCGTGAATTATTTTTAACCTTGTCTATATGTACCTTTCTCTCCTTATCCACCCAGGTAAGAGGTCCAAGAGCTGGAGTCATTGGCTTGTCCAAAGGAGCTGAAATTGCATTAGCCATGGGAACCTTCTTAGAGGAAATAGCAGCTGCAGTGTGCATCAATGGTGCCACAAGTATGAATGGTGCACCCCTCCATTTTCGCGATATCAACATCCCTGCTGTTCCCTACTCGGCAGAGGCGGTTCTCATCAATGAAATAGGATTGATGTCCAGTTTCAATGTCATGGGAGATCCTCTAGATTCAGTTCATGAAGTCTCTGCCATTCCTGTGGAAAAAGCCCAGGGTCACGTTCTCCTTGTGGTAGGAGAAGCTGACCAAGGCTTGAACAGTAAGATGTTTGCTGAAGCGGCTTTGAGCCGTGCAAAGAAGTATGGGAAAACTAACTATAGGTTATTATCTTACCCTAAGGCTGGACATATGATAGAACCACCTGGATCCCCAACTTGCTTCATCTCTTCTATCCGGGGTAGTCCTATACCCACAATATGGGGAGGAGAGATGAAGTCTCATGCCAAAGCTGAGGAACATTTCTGGAAAGAGGTCCTGAAATTTTTTGAGCTCCATCTTAGCCCAGCTAAGAAGGAAGTGCAGGTTGCATAGGTTCTTTTGGTCCACAAATATTATGAAATAAACCCTACTCACAAGATAGAAATTGGGTTCTCATAATGCATGTTTCATAAAGATAACTAGATAGTAAGAATCATATACGATGATAAGACTCTGGAAATGCAAAAAAGATTAGCGTTGTCTTGTTTGGTCTATTGTGACTTTCAGAGTACTTCTATAATTTCTCTTTCAAATAAAATAATGAGTTAATGATAAATATGTTGACTTTGAAATGAATCCTTTGTGTACAAAAATCTTCATAAATTCTCAGTGTGCTGCATCCATTGTTGTAAACAGCTTGTTTCATAAACAGCTATCATCTGTAGGATTCCTAATTAATCTCAGGTGGAACATATGTAAACCGTGCTAGGTTCTATTGGGATATTGACACATGCATTATAATCAGCTTTTGCACCAGAGAAATCTCATGCAGGCTTGAGAATCATGTACATGGATGTGATACACTGAAGGAGGGAATAAGGGAGTGTACAGGAATGATCGATGTCTTCTTTATGATGTAATGGCTCTGTTGTCTGATTTTCATTGGCTAACAAAGTTTATAAAGCAATGCTACCAACTTTCTAAAGTGTGGCACTTCTGGACGTAACTCTGCGTTCCAGATTGTTGGCCACCCAGCTGCTTGATTTGATCAAATAAAGTGCTGCTTGATCAAGAAGTCTCCGCTTGGGTTATCTGATTAGATTGACATGGTATTTCAAGTTCAAGAAAGGGACTGGGACCTTACATTTCAATACCCCAACACCTTCCCCCCCTCCTCCCAATAAACCACATTATGGCTTAATGGGATCCTTAAACCTAATCACAGATAGGAAAAGTAGTAACCACCATCACCACCACTGCATCCGCCATCAGCATTGCCATCTCCAGTTGCTCCTCCACTTGCTCAAGGCTGAAAGCAGAGGGCTAAGTAGTATATAGGTAGTCCTCAACTTACAACTATTCGTTTAGTGACCATTTCAAGTTAAAACAGCAATGAAAAAGGGACTTATGACAGTTTTTCAGACTTACAAACATCGTAGCACCTCCATAGTCATGTGATCAAAATTCAGACACTTGGCAACTGGCATGTATTTATGGTAGTTGGGGTGTCCTGGGGTCATGTGATCACCTGATAAGCAAAGTAAATGGGGAAGCCAGTTTCCCTTGACAACCGTGTTACTGCAATGATTTACCTAACAACAGTGGCGAGGAAGGTCATAAAATGAGGGAAAACTCACTTAACTACTATCTTGTTTAGCAACAGAAATTTTGTTGGAGTCAATTATAATTGTAATGCAGGGGTGTCAAACTCAATTTCATTGAGGGCCGCATCAACATTGCGGTTGCCCTCAGGGGGGTGGGGGGGTGGCCTACTGGATGGGCATGGCCTACTGGGTAGGCGTGGCCAGCTCTACATCGTTCGCGTCGAGAGTGCCTGTGGGGGCCTGGGCAGGAATGGGACAGATCTGAGGGTCTCTGGCAGAAGGGGGTGGGACCAGGGCAAGCACCAAGGCATGGTCCATTTCTTCATTCCTCACAAAGGGTGACACCTCCCCAGCATGCACCCAGGGGGCAGGGCCGACGCGGCAGGGGCTGGTTCCTCGTTGTTTCCAGACGGCCTTGTGGAGCTAAGACTGAATGCGTTTCAGCATAGATGGCCACCAAAAAATTGTACATTGGCTCTCGGATGGCCTGGGCCAGGGCCAAGGCAGTGGGGGCCGTTCCCTCACTGTTTCCAGGATGGCTTTGCGGGCCATATGAAACCACTTCGTGGGCCGCATCCGGCCCCCGGGCCTTGTGTTTGACATGTCTGCTCTAAAGCTCTTAATAGCAAGTGCCACACAAAGTACACTAACCAAATAGGTGGTAAGACATTAGGGGAACTCAGGCACCACACAGGTTATGTAGGAAGTAAACACAGGGATGGCCATAAAGGACTCAAATGTCTATACACAAATGCACAGAGTATGAACAGCAAACAGGGAGAACTAGAAATTCAGGTTAATGAGGGCAGATATGATATTGTTGCCATAACGGAAACATGGTGGGACGAAACCCACAAATGGAACACACAGCTAGAGGGATTTAAATTATTTAAAAGAAACAGGCCAAATAAAAGAGGAGGTGGAGTTGCTCTCTATATAAGAAATAACTACATCTCTACAGAAATAGAACACAACAATGATGAAAACTGTCCTGAATGCATATGGGTCAATATAAAAGGGGGGGGGGAAATGACATTGCCATAGGTGTATACTATAGGCCACCCAACCAAACACAGGAAATAGATGAACTTATTGCTAGTCAGCTAACTAAGGTATGTAGGAAGCACATCACAATAGTAATGGGGGACTTTAACTACCCTGACATCAACTGGGAGACAAACTCTGCACCGAGTGGAAGATCAAACAGATTCCTGACAAACCTAGCAGACAACTTTGTCTCCCAAAAAGTAGAGAAGGGAACTAGGGGATTAGCCATTTTGGACCTAATTCTCACTAACAGAGATGAAATGATAGAAGGTGTTGAAGCCATAGGAACCT